TAAGTTTTAAGTTTAGGTTAGTTAGTTAGTTAGTAGTAGTAAGTTAAGTTAGTAGTACGTACGACGTACGTCGTCTACGTACACACTACACGAGAGAGAAGAGAGAGAGAGAGAGAGAGAGAGAGGCCAAACGAATTAAGTCTAAGAGTTTATTGTTTGGCCAGTTTTTTGGTGTGGCAGTGGTTGCATGCAAGCGCAGCTCAAAACTATATCTTGGATATGGATTGAGGACCCAAAAAATTCCTTTTCATCTGCACATCAATTTCTTCCCATCCCCAATTGTTGAATTTGGCGTTTCAAGAATGGCGCAGGTTTGATGGATCTAAGAAAATGTCCAATAGAGATACAAAAACAATGGTGCAAGATGGGGCCATTTGTCATTTTCATTTAGAACTTATGATCATAGAGGTCCAGCTGATGGATTCACAAAGTTTTGGTCTTCAATCCATCTTCAAGATGGGTTTTGAGTTGCCACGCAACCGCAGCATGCAAGAACCTTGCACTCTATGTATGGTGTGGGATGCACGGAGCTCGTATAATGATGATGAGTGTGATTAATAGAAGCCTGCATCGAGGTTACAAGTGCACTGAGTCAGTCATTTTGAGAGAGATAGAAGAAAGAAGAAGGGGGGGGGGGGCACTCTTTCCAATGTGGATGTGGGCTTTGCTTTCCTGATATGCAACTTATGTGATACATAACAAAATTAGGCTTCAAACAATGAATGATGGTATGGATGGAATTAGCACCTTGAGCAAACGCCTATGACACCCTGACAAGTGGTATCAGATGGCATGGGATTGACAGGGGGTCTCATCATTCTTTTAGGAAATTGAATCTAGTTTCCTAAAAGCTAAACCTCAGAGAAAAATTCGTTATAAGTTGGGAGTTATGGTCGTTTTATCAGAGGGTGCTTACCCTGCATTTTATGCTACATTGTCTAGTAACTAACTCATTGAGTCACAGTTTTCTTAAAGACCCTTTGACCAGAATCTAGTTTCATAAAAACTAAACCTCAGAGAAAAATTCCTTGTAAAGGGTGCTCACCCTGAATTTTCTGCTACATTGTTTAGAAACTTACTCATTGAGTCATGGTTTTCTTAAAGACCCCTTGACCAGAATTTTGATATGAATGTCCAAGTCTATTTTGTCCCATTTTGTGTTCCCTTTCCATAGGAAAAAGTCCCATCAAGAAATATCATATATTTCTGTAGTTATGGTCTTTGGACTAGAGGGTGCTTAACCTGAAATTGCAGGAAATTATGGAAGACAAATCTTATGAGTGGTCTAGTAAAGGGTATTATTGTACACCCCAATGGATTCCCACTGTATGATGACCAATTATGGGCAAACTTGAAACCACTTAAGGTGTTTTGGGTCAGTGGGAGGGCAACCTCCACGGCATCATGGACATTAATTCGGATACTAGGGGATCCGAGTTTTGATCAAGTTCTGGGATGCACCCGGAAAGTTCCTTTTGCGTTTAGGCATATAGATTATGTTACAAAGGCAGATATACATGTGTTGTTGTCTAATATGAGTATGGGTATCAGAAATTTCACTTCCACAATTTGCCTTTCAGATATGGCACATTTGTAGTAAAGTAAGAGGTGGGGCTTAGGTGACATTAAAGTACTTTATCCGGGTGATTCAACAAGAAAGATTAAGAGTTTTACAAGGAAGATTAAAAATAAATGTCCAAGTTCTTGAAGTATTAGAAAAGAGTCTCACCTCCTTAGTGTGTAGATATGCACCAAAAATTATAGACAGGCATGTCCATGTTAAGTAGAATGTAAAAAATAAGAACGGTTTATTAAGGGTGCATAAGAAAAACCCACTGAAGTCATGGTTCAAAATAATGAAATTACAGTCATCAAGGGGGTGTACTATCACCTTTACAGTGTGATAACTCTTTGTTGTGATGGAAAATAACAGGAAAAAATCAAATAAGGGGATAAAGGGAAATCACTATTCAGAATAATGGTTTTTTTTTTTATATTGTTTAATTTAATTTTGATTACCTTTGAATGTGCAATAGCACCTCTCGAAAACCTTGTCCTGGTGAATGCATTTTGTGTTTATATATTTAAAAATATATACACACACGAACATGCACATATAAACTACTACATGGTTCGTGGACCATGTGTTGCTCACTGAATGTGTTAGGAAGCTCGTTGTTATGGTTTCGCAGAAGAAATTAGATGGAAAATGAGGTTCGGCATTTCACCCAAGTTTAGGCTAGGCAAAATTGTTTTTGCCCATAAGCAGTGTGCTTGAAATATTTGGATGAGAGGGAGTGGAAGTCTGAATTTTCGGATGATATAGATGCAGAGAGAAAGAAGGATGCACCATGAGAAGCCTCTCTCTCCTTTCTTTTCTCAGAAAATTTGTCAAAAATACCAATTTTGCTCTCTCCCACTTAAAATCCTCCGTGTCTCCTGTCCTCTTTCTCTTTCATGTGTTTCCTCTCCAAATTACAGCTGGCGTGAGTTTTGTTTATCATAAAGTTCCTGTCTAGGTGATACTAAATTAGGTTTTCATGAGGCATGAAATCCATATCGCTAAGAAAAGTAGATGATTCAGCAGAAGTTTAAAAGGAGAGTACCCTGAATATCGGTTGAGTCTTGATTTCTATTGTATATTTGCTTTTGGTTAACAAATTATTGAGTGAGTGAGGGAGGGAGGGAGGGAGGGAGGGAGGGAGGGATTTGAATTTAGGTTCATATGCTGAGATATATTTTCTTTTTATCTGAATCGTTTGAAAGTTTTGGAGAACATATGAATATTTTTGTAGGGTTTTTAATTTTGTATTGTGGCATGGTTGAATTTTGTTGGAAGAGCTTTAGGGTTTTATAAAGCTTTCACATAGAGTTTTTCGAGTTTTCATATCAATTCCTCCTTTTCTTTTAAGTTCTTTTTATTATCACTATTATTGTTATACTTTTCTATTCTCTTTGTCTTTTTATTGTTTTTGCATTGAACTGAACTAATCCATCAATTTGTTTTACTGTTTATTTTCTAAATTTTAGAACAAAGATATTTTTATTTAAAGTTTGTCTTGTGTTTGTTTCATTTTTTTATTGTTTCCTTCTCTTTACTGTGAATAAATTTCTATATGCAATTTTTCTTGATTAAGAATTTTTTAGTAATGCTTGGTTTTACAATTCCCTGTAAATTTCTTTTTGAGGCATGGTTTCTTCTTTATCAAATTTGTTTCAAGAGCTTTGCTTTACCAAAGTTATTTCAAAATTGTGGGTGGAACTGTATGCGCTTAGGAGTCTTTTAGTGTCATCAGCCAGAGTTATTTGGTTCGTGATATGTTCATTTTGTTCATGTTGGTTGTTTCCTTCTAAATTCTAAAATTTCATTGTTATGTACGTTACTGTATATTGAACTGCCTATGGTTCTTCTGCATTAAATCATCCTTCTCTGTCCATACATCTTCACATTGAATTAAAATATCAGTCAAAATTTTTTCTTTGAACTGTTTATTTTTATAGAAATTATTATATTTTAAATGAAAAAAATCATTCGAGATAAATTTCATGTTGGTTTATGATACTTATTTGGCATACTAAGTTTCTGATCATTAAACACTATTATAGTGCATAACTATATGTCTGTTGTTAAGGCTCTTCCGGCCAAATCAATTCAAATTACGCTTCCAACTCAGATTTCCAGGTATTTGCTTCCTGTTAAGTAAATTACTATGCTCCATATTATTGTATCAGTTCACTAATTTGTTTCATAATTTTCCTGATTTGCCCTATGTTTGTTTGACTATTAATTTATTGATAATGTCTGTTCAAATATTGTTTCACATTTGCTTAAATTGCGAGATTTAAAGTTTTTGGTCTCTTTCAATGAAGCTTGCTTAGGTCTGCTTGTCCTGTTCAATTCTTAATGGGTGCGCTTTGTGTAAAGATTGCAACCTTAAGAAGGCTGCATTATTCTACACTATCCATTTTAATTGGACAGTATAGATTTGACATATCTTTTAAGACTGTCAAAAAGTAGCATATCTTTTAAGATAGTGTTAAATATACTACCTTGCTTCTATAAAGGTTGCAACCTTTTCTTTTTCCATTCTTAATTTGGCATGGAGTTTATATGGTAGGATGGTGAGGGTTGGGATTTTTCTCTTTTTGTTGGTCGCACAGTGAATTTCAAAAGTTCAAGTTTATCACGGAGCAAACTGAAGCTCTTGGTGTAGTCTGATTTCTTTCTGTTTTCTGATTTTTTTTTTTCTTTTTTTGTGATTTCTTTAGTTTAATCTAGGTTAGTTTTGCATTTTTATAGCTTTAGATGAAGTTTTTAGTATATTTTGGTGAAGTTTGAACATTTTGAGCTTCAAATCCACTAAAGATTAGGAAACATTTTCATAGTCGAGGTGGAACTTTTGGAGTCAATTATTTTATGTGATTTTGATTGGAATTAGTGCATATGTATGCTCGATTCCATGGTTAGATAACTTTGAATGTGTTGGAAAAAAATTCAATGGAGAATCATGAATTGTTGACAAGCGTTTGTAATGATTCTCAAGTGAGGCTACACTGCTGTTACTGAAAATTGTAAAGGTTGCAGATATGGAATGACTATGCATTTTGGTAGACAATTGAACATTGCATAATTGAGATTCACTCCAGCATAATACAATCTATACTTTCAGTATGGTCTTTTTAGATGGTCGGTATACTTATTAATTCTTGTAACAATCGTACATTTTCTGACAAAGTAGTCTGAATTTTCATGTACCAATGAACTATATGACTTGATTTTCATGTTGCCTATATGGCCTTTTGCCTATTCATCGTGATTGCTATTACTTGATCAAGAGATGTTACTTTACAGTTTACATTCATAGATCTCTCTCTCTCATGTCAGCATTTTCTTCCATGGATCTCTTTGAATCTGTAAAAAAGAGTATCAGTATATTCGTCAAAGGAAAAAGTTTATATAAGGATGCAACAACTACGGATGCACCTCAAAAATCCATCGGAAAAAGTAGTTTTAATGTTAAAAAACCTTTTGATTGATCGTCTCGACATCGAGATGTATGACCATGAAAAATAAAAAGATTTCAAGTCTCAGAAATAGTGCATTTTACAACATATTATCTACACCGTCCATTTTCAAGATTTTCATATGTTTATAGATCTACTTGATTTTAACCCTTTTTGAAATTTAAAATTTTATAATTAGATATAAAAATAGATTTTGAGATAATCCTAATAACATTTTGCATCAAAATTATATAAAATTTGAAGGTGCACCTTACCTCTACAGCTACGGATGCATCTGTATGCCAACTGCACCCTTCATCAAATGCTTAGCTTTGGACTTTTTTTTTGTTTTTTGTTTTTTTCTAGCTAGTCCAGCTATATTTTACGCGTAGATTGCAGAGTGTGGAGCTTTTTATACATGGATTGAGACTATTTCTAGTTATGAACTGATAGAAATTGGATTGCGCCCATCTCCCTCTGTCTCTCTCTCAAAATGGCGATGGGATTTCTACCAAGACAGTGACAACATTGTTTATAGTCGACGATTTGCAGCATTGGAATCATTCCAGGATATATTTGCAGGTTCACATGCAAGGATTGGGTATTCCAGAGGCAGAGGAACTGACCGAATTCAACGGTGTTGCCATGGAGAATTGTATATTTTGTTTTGTGATTTTAGTGGTACACATATACAAGGGCCTGAATTTTCATAGGGTGGCAGTCGGCCGGGCTGCCCGGTGAAATTAGGGTCTGAGAGACAAAATCTGTTCTGAGGGCCGGGCCTAGGCCTGCCAAGTCAGGCGCCTGGTGCTTATTTTGTTATCTTTTTTCTTTCTTTTTTTAAAAAAAAGTTTACCCAGGGGAACAGGGCCGGGGTAGGACCAGGACTGACCCAGCCCGTTGCCAGCCCTAAATTTTCATACATCAATGAGATTGCTTGGTTTTACATGGTTGCATATTGGCATTTTGGATATTTGTTTATCATGCTTGACAGTATACTTTTATATATCTCTCTCTCTATCGCTCATGTCTCTCTCTCTCTCGTCTTATCTAACCACTTTTTGAAATATGTGAAAGCAATATACCGATAACATTCATCAAATGATCTGTTTTGGATGTAATTTTGAGTACGGACACTGTTTGGGGCTCTTATTTCCATATGGTGTTCCAAATATTACAAGCACTACCTACTCCGGCTTTTTTTTTTTTTCTTTCCTCTTATACTCATTCTAGGGGGGGGGGGGGGGGAAGCCACAGGGTGTTTGTAGTAATAAGAACCCCCCAAACAGGGCCGTACGTAATTTGCTTGCTCTACTTTTTTATAGGAGCACTGTAAATTTTCTTGCTCTACTTTTTTATATGAGAACTGTAAATTTCAGCTCTTTATTTTTCTTAAATATTGGTATGAACTCATCGTTTTACTTATTAATTATATAAACAGCCAAGTAAAGCTTTATATGATGCAACAGAATGGAGAACTTTGATCTTTCTTTATGTTTTTTCAATTTTAACTTTGCATTCATGCATGAAACTTTACTCTACAAATTTGGAAAGCCTAGCTGTGTTGTACTTCAATGCATTGTGTCAATAGTTTTTTATACACAGATTGCACTTCAAAGAATGTTGCCTCTTGTGTCCCTCCCCCCCCCCCTCCTCTCTCTCTCACACACGCACTGGACAATTTCTAACTAAATAATTGCATCATTAATAGGGGTGGCAATGGGACGAGCCTGACCCGGACTAGGGGTGGCAATTGGACGTGCTGGACCCGGACCATGACCTGGACCCAAAAAAATGATATGGGACTTGGACCCGAATTTACTGAACTTGACCCAATCTGTTGGGTCCAATACCCTTTGGGTCTTGGGTCAGTTCCGGGTTCATTGCCAAATGATTCTATAATTCATTTGCTATAGTCACACCCAAGGAATGGGTCTTCAGAAGCAGTACAACTCATCAAGTTAAAAGGATGGGAATTTGTTATGGGCAAGCTTTTTATGCTTCATCTACAGCATAAAACTTATGTACTTCCTTTTATCCAATCGTCCATTCTGAATTTCAGAGGAAGTACAACTCATCAAGTTAAAAGGATGGGAATTTATTATGGACAAGCTTTCTATACTTCCTCTACACATAAACTTATATATTTCTTTTTATCCTACCCTGAATGGAGGGATAAGACTGCATCGACAGCATAAAACTTATATACTTCCTTTTATCCAACCTTCCATTCTGAATGGAGGGCTAAGACTGCCTTAATTACAATGTTACATCTTTATACTATTTTATTTTTAATTTTTTTTTCTATAAACTATTTTGACACCAAATTTTCGACGTCCAATTCTCTATTAAACTCGCACTAGCAAAAAATATAAAAAAATATTTTCAATAAAATAAAATGATTAAACTACCCTTGAAAGTTTCAAGGGGTATTTTGGTTATTATATTTTATCGAAAAATTAATTTTAATATTTTTTATAGGTGTGCCCCAATAATAAGATGACATGTACTAAATTTCATATCCATAAAATTTGTATAAAAAAAATTAAAAATAAAATACTTTGAGACATCGGTTCTAAGATCGAACGGTGAATGACTTTCTTGATCAAAATTGGACAGCTGGATGGAAGGAGAATCATAGATCTTCTATGCTGTAGGGGAAGTAGATAAACTTTTCCCATTTGTTATAACACCGAAAGGAAAACAACCAAAATAGTACATAATCCCTTAGAAAAATAACCTAATGGGTAGGTTGTTCTTTTATGTGGGATGGAAAGCAAAAAAACAGCGTCAATCACCTATACTCATCATGGCTTCCTTCGATGCATAAGCTGATGCTCCTCGTGGGCAGCTAATTCCTGTGGGGTATCCTTTGCCAACCTAGGTACAACCAATCCTCTGAGCGAGGATACAGCCTCTATCAAAATGTTCATCTACAAAATGTATAGTTGGACTGGAATATCTGGCTCCAGATGCAATAACGGCTTTGTGCACCTTCAAACCATAATATCCTTTGCTACCAAAAGATGAAAGAAGAGGAGGGTGTGTGTTCAATATGGATCTTGGATATGCCTGAACCTCCTCAACAGACACAATCTTTGAAAAAAACCAGCAAGGAGAAGAAAGTCGACATCGAATTCCCTGAGACTGGAGATAGTGCGAGCAAACGACTGGGATTCCCTTTTTGTTTGCGTATTCTGAATCCCCAGTGACCACCACTGAAATGTCTCCATGGATTCTACCTTGGGCTGGCCTTATGCCGACATTTGATATTGGACCCTCCTGAAACAAAGACCGCCAATTTCTTTCGTCGAATATGCAACTTCACTTCTCGACGACTTCGTTCTTTAAGGGCCCACCCCACAAATGCTAAAGCTTTGAAACGTTTAGGTTTTGGGTTAACTAGATTTAGAGTGTATGGTTCTGTGGTCTCTGTGAGAGAAAATGGAACAAGGAAGGGGGGATGAGGTGACCTGGAGAGAGAAAATGATGGAGTAGATGGTCTGAGGACAGTGGTTTTGGGCTGGAGAAAAAGGCCTTAAAGCCCCATGAAAACCAGGGTTGAAGATATATATTATCTTGTTTAGAGAGAGGTAGAGATGTCTGGGGATAGGCTTCCCTAGAATTGGCTTCGAAAGGATTTTTTTAGAATTGGGATAGGTGTATGTCCTCGGAATTGGCTTCTCCTGCACCTCTCATGTCCTTTGGATAGGGCCGTATGTTGTTTGTGTTTGGAATTGGCTTCTCTTGGTTTGTCCCTGGGATAGGGGTGTATGTCCTTCGAATTGGCTTCCCGCTATCCTGGGATAGGGGTGTATGTCCTTTGAATGGGCACTCGCCTGTCCTTTGGGATAGGGTGTATGTTGCTTTTGTCCTTAGAATTGGCTTTTCTTGGAACTCGCTTGTCCCTGGGATAGGGGTGTGTCCTTGGAATGGGCTTCTCTTGGAACTCGCTTGTCTTTGGAATGGGCTTCTCTTGAAACTCGCTTGTCCTTGGCTTCTCGGAACTCGCTTGTCCCTGGAATAGGGGTGGGCTCCTTGGAACTCGCTTGTCCCTGGAATAGGGGTGTATGGTGCTTGAGAGCACCTGGTCCCAAAAATAGGTAATGCCAGTCAAGAGGAGCTTAGTTGGACCATTTTTTCATATTTTTTTTTGAAAGGAGCTCAAGGGAAATGAAGCGCGGGTGGCCCACATTTAATAGCTAAGCCCGATGGAAAAGCTGCCGTCATGTACATCAATAGAAAAAGTTTATATAGGGCCGGGCCCTTAAACAATCTGATTAATACACACCTCTAAGGGTTTCAAATGCCCATAAATCTTCTCAACCACAAGATGTACGGTCATTTTTAAAAAAAAAAAAAAGATTTCAAGTCTTTCAAGAATTTCAAGTGTTCATAAATAGCTCTATATATCTTTATTTTTGAAGCTTTTAATTTTATAATTAGAGATAAAAATAACTTTTTTTGGCAATCACAAACATTTCTATCGAAATAACATACTATTTGAAGGTTCATCATACTTTGATGGTTTTAAGCCACCACAACAATATCTATATCTATATTATATTGTTAACCCAGAGATGAGGGGTAGATATATGTTGCAAAAATAAAAGGTGACCCGACAATGATAGAGAGGTTAGGGCAGGTGTCATATAAATAGAGGGAAAATTTAGAAAATAAAAATAAAAAAAAGAAAGAAGAATTCATGAGTAAGATATTTTGTATATCTATTTTACTAATTTGGTTGTGGTAAGTCTATAAGGTTATTTTGGTGGTTATCAAGTTCAAGGTGGTAGCATCTTATACTTTAGTCACCATGTTGTAGTTTTTATTCCCACCACTAATATCACCGTATTAACACTTTAAAAAAACTAACTCCTAATCTACTTCAAAAAAAGATGTAGGGGCTTGTCGGGGCTTGTCTTCCCCTCTTAATCATTAAAAAAAATAAAAAACTTTCCCAATTTGATTTATTTCCTATATCTCTCCTTAAAAAAAAGAAAGTTATAAAAAAGATATAATATTAAAAGAATTCTCCCTGTAAAAAATGGATATATCTACCCTTGATTCTCTCATCTATTCTCATATCTCATCCGTCTCTCGCTCACTCTAATAAGCACCTCTCCTTATATCACACATGCAATATCTCTCACGTACACCTCTCACGTCTCTCTAGCCGTCTCTCTGAAAAAAAATAAACAGAAAAAGAAAATGATCAATTAACCACCTCTATCAATGAAATTTTTTTATGCAAAGCCAATGGAGTTTGAATCATTTCATACTTTAACGAGAGAGGATCGGTATTTTCTCTTAGCCCTAAACTTCCATTATTTTTTATTTTTTTTATTTGTATTGAAAAGAATTTCTTTTTTATTGGGTGTTGGAAGGGTTTAGTTTTAGGACCCGGTTAAAAAATAAATAAATTTTAAAAATTAGAAATAATAATTCTAATAAGAAAATATTTCGACCGTTAGTTTCCATTATTTTTAGATAGAACACCTACTTGCATCCATCTTTATGATGAATGCTTTACGCTTTCTGGACCGCATATGTAGAAATGCAGTCTTGCCCGTATTTCTAGACTATTTTTTGGTGTCTATTTAGGTGATTTAATAAAATAATGAGTTATCAGCTTAGAATTATGTTTATAGCTTTAGAAGGTGTTCATATTTTTTGTTAATTTAAATTAAAAAATTGTATTACATTTAACTTGTTATTTCTTGTGTATTAAATTATTTTGAAATATAAGGATTACTTGATGATTGCTTGATGAAAGACCTTGCAATCATTTTAAATATTTTTATCTTTGAGTTCCGTAAGATTTTTTTTATCATCTCTTCCACATATTTCACTTTTTTTAATTTCTTTTTCCATATTTTAGCATGTTTTTCCGTTGATATTTCAGTTAATATTGTTCCTACTTAGTAGACGGTTCAATGCATGATATGCATTATTTCACTTGCTTTCTTTTGATAAGCAAATTTTATGAGAGAAAGCCAGCAATAAAGAAAATAAACAAATAAGAATTCCTTTTTCTTTTGGATTTCAGAATGGGAATGCATTTTGAATAGTGAATACCAGTTAGAAATCTCGTCCACTGATGGATACTCGATCAGAAATCTGGCAAACACATTTAACAACAATCTGGAGGATAAAATCATATCAATGATTTCTCATAAATATTTACAAGCATTTCCAATGTACACGATTAAGCAAATCGATTAAATAAAATCTTACATGCTAGGTCCTCCAAAACCATATATTCGCACCTTTTTTTTTTTTCCTTTTCACATCTGGTTAGCCTGGCTTAGCCAAAGCATCAAGCCGAAGAAGGGGAAGCAATTCAGAAAGAGTGAGCATCCCAAACCCTATAACCGAGTCTAATTAATGAATGTTTGAAGAGACCAACATGCAAAACAACGTTCCTCAAACATTTTTGTGCAAATAAATGTCGTTATTTGAACCCAACATTATATGGCCATTTCCAAATTCCCATATCCTCCATTCCCTTCCGTAAATTGCTGTGCATATGGACTACGCACATATCTAGATTAAGCTCTATAGGACCTCAGATTGACCGCTTTGGATTGACCCTCACAGTTCGAAATTTGCACAACTTAGACGATTACTCAAGTGACCACTGCCCAGCTCCTCACCATAAGGTTGACTGGAGAACAAATAACAGGCCACCATATTGCAACAGTATCATGCTCACATAAAAACATGATTCCCTCTCTCCACTTGGTTTGGTTCTTCAATTTTACGCGCTCGCATGTATCACTATCTGATCCCGTGGTCCCAAATGAAAATAGCAGTCTCGCAAAAACTATATTCAGTATTTGGTTAGCAGAGCAATATGCAACCAGTAACACGCTGGAGAGCCCTACCTCCATTGCACACCAGTTAGAATGGCATTTGAACTTCAAATAGGAGAAGCAAAAGCATTCCTGACCTCATTTAGCATTCTCAATTGGAACCGAACTCTGCATTCCACTGTTCTAGTTCTTGTAGCTTGCTTTTAATTAAGCTTGGTCTAATGACAGTCATTGCCCTCTGAAAATCTTCAAACCTTAATGGACGTACCTGGGAAACGTGGAAAGAAACCATTTTACATGGGAAAAGGAACATATTATGCACCTGAGTCAATAACCCATATGCAGTCATTGTCAAGTCATAGATGCAAGTAAATATCATATCGGCTTCCATTGCAGCCCTAAATGACTAAATTTTCCAAGAAATACAAGCACATGCAGTCATTTTCAAGTCATAGATGCAAGAAAATATCTTATCTGCTTCCACTGCAGTCCTAAATGGCTCATTTTCCAAGAAAGACAAGCACATGCATAACAAGAAACAGAAAAGGAATTTCTACTAGACATTGGAAAGAGAAACATGAAAATGAATAACTGTTTAGGCCAAGAGAAAATACCACACTCTCTTACCAATCCCTAGTTATTTGAAAGGCTTTTCATATGAATACATACGGAAATTAAGAAAATGTCAACGGAATTCTAAAAGCAAACAAAAAGGAAAAAAGCAAACAAAAAGGAAAAAACCTAAAAGATCCCATTTGTCCCATTCATGTCATAATTTGAATAACAATTGTTATCTGTTTGCGACATGCGACAAAAAAAAAAGAACGTACTACTTCCATATATATGTAACCATTAACCATTCTCATTTCATTTGGTTTCCTTCTATTCAATCAACCTTTGATAAAAAATTGTAATTAATTGCAATCAGATCCATTGAATTTTGATGAGTGACGATTCAAGCTGATGGATCTGTCCGTTTGTATCCATGTGTTGATAAAGAAAAGGAGGAGTTTACAAATACAAATAAGATTCAAAGTGGGTTAGGAATGATTATAAGATACGATCCAATTCTATAGACTCCAATTCTATTCTATATAAGACTAAGATGCAGATGGTTTACAGAACTCAAGACTACAGAATCTAAAGTAATAGTCATTGTACGACAAAATCATAATGCATATAGTTTCCTAAGGAAAATGTCAAAATTCGATAAATTTTAAGAACTGGAAATGACACAGAAAGTTCTTAAGATTTCACAAAATTTTGCTGAATATTCAATAACAAGAAAAAGAAGAGGAAAAAAAAAGAATGCATTTGCTTTTTCAAAAATACATACCCTATTGGCACAGAATAAATTTTACCTTTAAAAATTGCATTTTTAAGTTCCCATAATCAGAAATTCAGCGTTACAAAAAACGAACTGAGTGGTTCTTATTTTCAAGAATTTTCGGCACAGGTACACAAGATTAGACAATAAGTATCAACTTCAAATATACTTCAGGCCAATTAATGATTCAGAGCACCCACCCTACTTGCATTTACTGTGAGAATGTTTGGCCCAAGTTCTCTGATTGGCATCATTGCAGCTTCTTCACACAAGGCTTGCAGATCACTACCTGAATATCCTATATATTGGTACAAGACAATTGCCATATTATTTAAGGATAGAAGTTACTAATAAAGAAAAGATTAAGAGATCCAGTACATACACGTGCTCATTTATAAGTAT